AGGACGGTGGTCAGGTCGCCCCCTGTGGGAAGCCCAGGGCAGGGCACCAGCTCCTCCTTGTTGTCGGTTGTGTCAGGAGCTGTCGGCACCAGGCTTGTGGGTGTGCCTGGGGGAGCGTGTTAGGTTACAGGGCCGCCGGAGTCAGGAAAACACTGCACGCAGCCCACATCACACATGTTTGGACAAGAACTGTTAGGCATTTGTGGATAAACAGTTTGAAACCAGACTGCCCGTGACTAGTGAGAGATCACTGGGCAGCAGTATCTATAGCTCTGCTCTTGTAATGGTAAGGTTGTTGGTTTAAATCCCAAAGGTGGGACTCTGCTCTTGTGCTCCTGAATGAAGTAATTCACCCCAGTTATGCCTAGCTGTAAAATGGGTGCAAATGTAAGTTGCTTGGGACAAAACTAGTGAAGTGCGCTGAAGTACAGTTCACTGGGGTCCAGCAGAGGCGTGGGGCAGCTCTGTACTGCCTGCTGCCAAGCAAAGGAATGGGTGTTAAAGGAGTGCAGATGTGGCCACTGAGCGAAATGACTAGTCTCAATGATCCCAAGCACCACTGTGGGCTTGAAAAGTGTTACTAAAACTAGCTCTGCCAGTTCTGGGCTTTGAAATCTGTCTGAAATTCTCACCACACTGTTACTTATCATTGTCCTTTTGCACCGAGACAGGGCAGATATGACCGAGCCGAACGATAGCAGAGCCAGTCTCGTGGCTTTTGCGAAGGAGCGCGGTGGTGACAGAGGGCAGCCCTGCTCTGTCTGCGAGTGCCCAGAAAAGGAAACCCCAAAAAATCCCGCTGAGGTGTTTCAGGAGGCCAGCGAGGACAGGCGAGGGTGTGGAAGTGACAGGGAGCGACAGAGATATCGCTGGGGAGCAGCAAGGCAGGGGGAAAAGGAGTTTTTTCTCTCTGATGGCACGGACGGCAAGCTGGGAGCCATGTGGAGAGCACAGAGGTCAAGCAGGCGTGGTGTCACTCAGGACAAAATGACATCTCGTGCCTTGATTGGTCTAAAAATAAACTGAGTCTAAAAGTGTTTCAGTGCGACCAAAAAATATTTAAGCTTTTTATAAAGCTCCTGACTGTTAGGATGTGATCTGCTGCTCCCCATGCCAGGCCCACGGTGCTTCACTTTCCCAATGAAGTCGTCAGTGTTGGTAACAAACTACAAAGGGCTTCTTAATCCTTTAAAGGAGCAGTAGCTAACAGGAGGTAATGTGCAGAGCAGATCCAGAGGAATGTAATACTCCATGATGAGAACTCACGCCCAGCACTCTAGTTTTAGTGTGTGCAAAGCAGACCATTGATTTCTAAAGCACGGCTCTTCACCTTGTATTAAGAGTAAAGCTCCTGATGTTGGCACCCCTCTACTCTAGTGTTACAGACTGGCACAATTAATTGTAATTACACCCAGCACTCACCCAATCACGAATAAAAGACTATAAAAATTGGCTGACCGATGGTTTGTGCTTCCTTTTGTTTCACAGATTCGTGGAGCGCTGTGTTCCTGCAGAGAGGCCTGCTGTTTTGGTCGGCCAGGGTGGCCATATGTCTCTGGAGGCTAAAGAGAGAGACACCTTCCTCCAGAGTCCTGTCGCCTAGCAACACAGCTCAGGTTCTAAAAGAGGAAAGAGGCTGGTGGGTACATTACTGGGGAGTGAAGAACATACAGGAGTCAGGCTTTCTGTCTCAGACTCGCTCCAGGGTATTGTACAATATTAGAGATCTGGGAATGTGTGTGTGTGTGCAGGAGCCAGTGTGTGTGTAAATGTGTACCCGATGTGTGTGTCTGTGAAAGAACATCTAATACACAGAGATCTAGAAATTCTATATATATCTCAAGTGCCAATCGTTAACCACATGCAAAAAACAAAAACATCTGGTGCACTTTGTAAACACTAAATGCATAATGTTGAAAACAAACCAGTTAACTACACAGCTACTCTGTTATTTCAGTGTCACAACTCCATGGTAAACATCCCCTGTTGGATCCCATTGATGCACCATCTGTAATTAAGTAATTCACTATCGGGCAGAGAATGAGAGATTTCTCAGCCCTGGAATTTTCTGTAGGAGCATGTTCAGCCTTCTGAGCCTTTGTGGTGTGCAATTAGTGTTCTGTCTCCTAAACATTAAGACACGTCACACAGGAGTCCTGCGCCCAACTATAGAGAGAAGTGTGGATGGCTGATGTGACAAGAAATAGTTCACTTCTTTGGAATTTGTAATACGCAGAAATGTGCTTTCTTGTACTACACTTTTTCAGATTTACCTCTTCAAATTTCTTCTGGTTGTGTCTTCTAATGCTAAAAAGATCAGACCCCCAAGTCTGATTTCAAGTTTGTACTTGTGCATCTGGTGAGATTTCTTAGGCGTGACAATTTTCACATGGAATGGAGTTTTTCACATGACCTCAAACCTGCTTAAGGAATTCCAATCCGTTATCCAGAGCCATTTCATCCTGGGGAGTGTCCAGGTGAGCCAGGGCCTTACTTTGGATTGGACGTCTGCCCGTCACTAAAAAGAGGAATATAAATCAGAATGCCGACTCCACTTTTAAAAAATGTTTTAATCTTTTTAGGAATAAAACAATAATTATACTTATATTGGGCTTTTCAGAACACAGAACAGTTGTTGTTATTCTTCAGCAGGTTTTGAAACGCAGCCTCTGCCAGGAAGTTTCGGTCCTGCTTTTTCAGGAAAAGCACATGTTCTTCCTTGAACTAGCCAGCATGAGGTTCGTACCACAGGGACATCTAGCTCTCAGTTTCAGCTCAGCATGTGTGAGACATGTTTATAGAGAGCGCTAACCTCTCTCAGCCAAAACAGTCTAGTTTGAGGAAAAAGTTTTTTTTAGGAGCTGGGAAACCAAGTGCTCTCATTCCCTCTTCCCTCCCACCCTGGCCCTGGGCCATGAGAGAGAGGAAGAGTGTACAGGCCAGTCCCTCCCTCGCCGTCTCTGGGATTTTCCTCGGTGAAGCTTCAGTGTTGCTTGGGTTTTCATGTGCATGACGTGAGTCTCGTGACACGACTGGGCTGGAGTCAAGGCCTGGCTTGGGGTACTGCACTCCTTGACAGTCACTCTTCTTTGTGTCATATGCTCTGGGAAGTGCATGTGTGGGGAAGGAATTTTGATGGGCCGGCTATTACTGTTTCACACCTCGGGGCCTTTCAACACTTCTCTATGACCAGGCGGTCAGAACTTCTGCCACGGTGCGCTTAAAGTACAGCAGGATCTGGGCAATTTGACTTTTTTTCATCTGAATTCTCCTTTATTAAAAAGTAGATATGCTGAATAAATAAAATCTATTCTCAGTTATCCACAATGCACACTTTTCTGTCTTGTAGTCTGAGATCTCCATAGCAACATCATAGGCTCAGGTGCAATTAGTATTTTAAACCACAATACAGAAGTGAAAGCTGTGTATATGCACAGCAGAGAAATCAAACATATTTTACAAGATTTTAGTCTCCTTAGTTATTTCTTTATTTAAACAAAAATAGCAACTGTCCTTTACTCCTTTCATGGCATTTCAAGGTCATGGAGTCTCTTTCTATTTTTCCTAAACCCAGAAAAACAATGTCTGCCAGTGGTGTAATTATTTCCGCTTAGTGAAATAGGGGTCTTGTTTTTGCACTGCCGTTGCTGTAAAAGACTTTCAAAAGCGTCAAGGCTTGAGTCGTTTGTGCCCCAGACAGTCCTGACAGGAGCGAATGCCATAACACAAGCTAGCAAGTCCTTGGTGTCGTCTCGGTCTGTTCTAGACTGACAGTGTTTAGTTCCTTTGAGCTACAGAATTGTTGAACTATACCAGCGTATCACACGTTCCTGTAGCGTACTAACTGCTGCCAAATTGCTAAATTGTGCTTGCAGTAGTAGCAGTAGAAGTGACACCATTCTTATAATAATATATGAAAGCGTAATGTATAAATAATTGCATCAATGTGCCTGTGTGTAAAGGCTTTTGTGACCAAAGGAATAACCTGAGGGAGGCATGAAGGTGTGGTACTGGGTTTGACGCTGAACTACAGCACTTTCTGTGTGGAGTTTGCATGCTCCTGTTGTTTGCAAGGGCTTTGCTGGGTGCTCTGGTTTCCTCCCACCTTCCACAGACATGCTGGCTGTGTGAATTGGTGTCTCCACATGGTCCCTGCATGTTTATAGTTTGCCATGGACTGGCTTGTGCTCTCACCTTGTACCCTGTTTTTCCAGGATTGGCTCAGGGTTGAAGTGGTCCTTATCAGGGAGACGCAGCTCTCTCATAATGAAACAGTGGGTAAGATAGCTAACCTCAAAGCATGATAGGAAGCTGATTTCGCTTGAATTTTTCACACTGCACAGTAGCATGGTCCTAACCCTTTTAAAGGAAAGGCATGTGCACACAACGGTGTGTTTACAGCTTGGGATTTATGTAGGTCTTAAATCTTTTTAACGACAGTTTAATTAATCTTTCCAGACCTTTTATTTATGTTTCCAAACACAGAACAGTTATCACCACGTGGAAAAATGACAAGAAGGTGTAAAAGAACTCAAGGAGGCAAATCAGACAGTGAACAAATTAAGCACAGGGTGTGAGAATTATATCAGTTGCTTCCTGCTTTTCTCTTCCTGAAATGTGCTCAGTGTTGGGTTTCGATGGCAATAAGTGTGTTTTGTTCTGTGCCAAGAGACTAGACTGGCACAGTGACTGGCCAGCAGGGGCTCCAGGGGTACCTCTTTTCCTAGGATTCATTTTCCCATGTTTCTTGTCCATCTGTTACACTTTCTGAAATGCAGGGACAGCCGCCTTCATCGCATGTGTCCACGCGCAGTCAGAGTCTCCAGCAGACAGCAGCTTTCCTGCTGCCTCGCTCCACTGTGTGTGTTCTGGAGCTGCGCTGCGCACGTGGCCTGGTGTGTGTATCTGAAGTGACACCTTCGCTTCGCACATGGGGGACTCTTTGCCATCTGGGAATTCATTTTCGTTCGTCCACATCTGCCCACTGGGACAATAAGGACAACAGAGCCCTTTGCTGCAGTTAATCTGGAGTTTGGCCATGAATTCATACTTCTAATATAATCCAGGCTTCATTCACCTCATCATGCTGCAGCATGATTGTACTGTGTCTTACCGTATCGTACTCTGCTTTTACCACAGTGCACCAAGAAAAGTTTTTATGAAGGGGCGCCTGTGCATGTCTTCACCTCATTCCCTCTTTTTGCATGGAGCACACTGAGCTACTGCATGGCTTTCTGCCTTAAACCGCTGTTGTCCTTTGCATGCAGTATTAAGTGGGCAGGAAACACTCCACGTTCTTCTCCTTTTGCTTGTCTGGTTTTTGTACCTGTGCTGGTTGAAGCTGTGAGACTCTGCCAAAACCCGATGCCAGCTGCCTCAGCCCTGGTGTGTCTCAGCATGCTTCTCCCAGGTCAGCCGCAGAGGCGCTGGGCTCTGAGCTTTCCAAGGCGACTCATGGCACATTGGGTAACTCATGGCACAGTGTGTAAGTGTGTAAACCATTTATTAGGGTGTCTCTGTTGTCAGGGTGTTTTTCTGGCCCCATGCTGCAGTAAATGGTCAGTAACTGACAGGTAACCACACTCGTTAGCGCATCTGTGGCCTTTGCCTTAGCAGGAAGTGTAGCGACTGTCATTATGACAACGTCAGGAGAAAGGCGCAGCCTGTTCTGGGGCTTTCTGTTACAAAGCTGATGGTGTTTAACGCAAGCAGTCACGCAGTGGGATAACCCTGCCTTGGTTCAGAAAAGCCAACAGCACCGGCAGGTCTGGACCCTGGGAAATGCCCTTGGAGTTAGTCGGCAAATACACGATGCCCAACCTGCCTCCTCACATTTTTCACAAGAGTTTGCTGCATGCTGTCTGTTATTCTGCAACCCAACGTGACTAGCGAGGCCACGGGGGTTGGTTTTATAGTACGCCACTGTAATACAGATTTGGAAGCGACCTTTTGTGCTCCAGCTAAGCTCGCATACACCCCTGGTCCGTGTGTCCGGCAATGTGCTTCAGTTGAGGCAGCGGTGCAAGTGCGCCCCCTCGCGGTCCTCTTGCTGGTTTTTCCTTGCAAATGAAAATAAAGCCGACAGTTCCAAAATTAATAACTTATGTTGGTTTTGAAAATCTACACACCAGACTCCCAAAATTTCTCGCCCCCCACCGCGATGAAACCGTTCAACCAGCGCGCATGCTTTGGGGCTGCTGTGCTATAGTAGACAAAGCTCTTTCTCTGAGCTCCATCTAGTGGCGGCGCCCCAGTACTGCATCTACGCAAAAGTGCAGTTCCTACCACTTGTTGCTACCCAACTTCGCCGCGGCCAATGGCGGCGCGGTCTGATTTAAAGGTGGCAGATTTGAATTTTTCGTGGGAAAAGCGCTTTAAATCAGGAAATGTTATTCTGAGAAGAAAAACCCAAAATGAAAGAAAATGAAAAGGGAAACGAAGAGGAATGGAGATGGAAATGAAACGGAATAGGAGATAGATGATGTTGTTTAACATGAATTTGCTGTAATAAAGTTAGCTTTTATGAGTTTAATCAGCTTGTTGGTGGAGCAAGGCATTTTTTTTCATATAGGCTAACGGATCTATTGTTTCACTATTTTTGTTTTAATTCCCATGTGTTGATGGTAATGACACGTAATGGGGACTCACCTCCATCACCACCAATGTGTAGCACTACCTGGATGATGCGATGGCAGCCAAAGTGCGCCAGTACGCTCGCCACATATCACTGAGGAGAGTAATGAAGCCATGGGGATTATAAGAAGGCCATGATTGGTAAGGGCCGATGGGAAATTTGGCCAGGAGTCCAGGGTACCACCCCTACTCTTTTTGAGAAACACCCTGGTATTTTTAATGACACAGAGAGTCAGGACCTAAGTTTTACATCCCGCCCTTAGGATTGTATCTTTTTACAGTATAGTGTCCTCGTCACTATACTGGTGCATTAGGACCCACACAGACCGCAGGGGGAGCGCCCCTACTGGTCCCACTAACACCTCTTCCAGCAGCAACCTTAGTTTTTCCAAGTTGGTCTCCTATCCAGGTACTGACCAGGCTCACACATTTGTTGAGCTTCCGTGAATTGCCAGTTGTGAGTTTGTGAGTTTGATTGGCTGTAATGTATCTGCAAATGAACCGTGAAGATAGCACTAACCTCATTAGTAATTATCTATTTATCATATACTCTATCAGACTTCAAGATTCTGAGATTTAATGCGTTGCCTCTTATGAACTGTATCATGTACGGTTTGTGCACAGTGGGTATTGTCTAGGAATGACAGAATCTGTATTATCATATGGTCCGTGTTAAGGAGCAAAAAAACGTTTGTCTGGGGATTTTGGACAGTTTCACAAATCAACAGGAGCAGTTGTTCCCCTACATGGTGGAGCAAGAGGTGTCAGGGCATTTTCTGCTGTGCGGAGAGTTACTTTAATGTGAAAGCAGTTGGCCTTTAAGTCCTCCCCTTTAACAGAAAGCCCAGGCGGAGGCCGTGACGTCACGCGAACGCTGCACCGATGGAAAAGGACGGTTCTCCAGCTCTGAGCCGGAGCGTGTGTGTATGCGCGTCCGACTTGTTTCAGTGTGTCCATGTTTGAATTTCTTGTTTTGTTTGTTCACGAATTTGCCGTCGTACTGGATACAGAACAGAACTGGAAACACACAGAGCCTGGCGTTTTATTTTTTCGTTTTTAAGGGTTTTTTTTTTTAAATCGGGGCAGGGATGAAAAGGTTCAGCCCTGGAAATTGAGTCACGAAAGCTAACAACGGAGAAATTCAGTTTTCTTTAAAAGGGAACTCGGCGGCCCCAGCTGTCGTCTGTATGCTGGCTACACCTCTGGTAACTAGTAACTAGGGGCAGTTGCGCCGCTGGTTGATTGGAGTTCGCGGAAAGGCGATTAAAACTTGGCTTTTCTGAGCCAGGAGACGCGGGGAAAGCCTCCTCCTCGCTCACCATGCTATCCGGCGCCCAGAACCAGAACACGCCGGCGTTCCCGAACCAGCAGCCGCCGCAGGCTCTCCAGCAGCCGAACCCGGCGCAGTTCCTGCAGTTTCACGTCAAGCCCAGCCCGGTGATCAAAAAGAACGCAATTACTGACGATTACAAGGTCACAAGTCAGGTCCTGGGGCTGGGCATCAATGGCAAGGTTTTGGAAATCTTTCAGAAGAAAAACGGGGAGAAATACGCGCTGAAGGTAAGGGTCTTCCCCGTGGCGGAATGAGCCGGGCTGCTCTTCAGTGCCTAGCCGCCTCACTCGGGCGAGGCTCCGGGGGATGTCAGGGGTGCGAGTAGCCGCTGATCCACACAGCCCCCCTTGGGGAGAGAGGGCAGCCTGGGGGAAACGGGCGTCTTGGATGTTTCAGACTGTAGCTGATTGGTGTTAAACACAGGACATACGAACTGGGATTTGATTAAGACGCTGTACGTGTTGTGTAGCCAAAAGAACAAAACGGAATTTGAGGAGCGAGGATAGGTGGTTTAATTGGTCTTTAAGTTACGTAGGCCTTAGCGAGATTCTTATGGAAAAGTTTGGATGTGGCGTGGTTGGTTTCGCACAGTGATTTAATTTATGCTCGGAAGAGACTGTCCCCCGGATTGGTTTAGATAAGAAAATTATTTTAATTGGTTCCGTTTTGACAGGCCCGGCCGGGCGCCCTGAAGTGATTTTTTTCCCTCTTGTGGAACAAGAAAAGATGACCAGAGATCGGAGTGTGTGATCTGTCGTCTGTTTGCGGAGAATTCGTTTAGGAGTTTAAAAAAACAAATCAGTGGAAAAAAGTAGATTTCAGAGTGCTGGTCTTGTTCGTAAATCTCCACTTCTTGTACAAAAGCCCTGTACTTTTGGGATGAATTGTAACGACTTCAGCGGGGGGCAGGGGGCATTTTGGTTATTGAAAACAAACCGTTTTCTACCTGTTGTTTAATTCAAGGACGTATGGAGGGAACTTGTTTGTCTGTTGATCGGCCTCTTTGAGCTCGGAGGTTGGCGACACTGACAGTGGAGGTCCCGAGGCCTAGTTGCGAAACTTTAGCACACGGCTGTATCGCTCTCGCCTTTAAACCAGTACTGATCCAACGGTGGTTCGGAATGTACCCGATTCAAAGTAAAAGTACACAAATGTCATGAATGACAGAGAGACAGAGAGGACACTTTGAAACTAGTCCGAGATAATTCAGTTTCGCTGGTGAGACTGGCGCTGTCGGTCAGACATTTCAAACGCGTTGCACTTAAACCACATACACCGGTCAGAGCCTCTACTAACCGGTTGTGAAAACGTGGAGCTGAAACAAATTAACGTTTAAAAAGGGAGTGATTAATTCAGAACCCTGTTCTTATTTACGTGTTTACAGCGCCCTCGCAAACCGGAACCCAGAGATCTCTGATTTCTAAACACAGCTCTGATTGAAAAGGCGATATTCGAACCAGCGGATCACAGCACAGTCTCCCCGTCCCCCTCCTCCACACGTCTGCCCCTACCCCCGCATCGCTCTGAAGTCAAAAAAACAAACTATGAGAAGATAATTTGCTTCTATGACCCCCCACCCCCACTGACTCTGTCTCTAATCCTAGTCTTCGTCCGTCTGGCTCGACAGTCCGGTTTCGAGACCGCACACGTTTCGAAAGTTTGTTTTTGTAATTTCCCTCTAGGTTCTAGCGAAATGTCAAATGTGGGGAGGTGGGCTGTAGTCGTTCTGAGCCACAGGCCTGCCTCGTCACAGCAGGCGGAACAGCAGTTTACCCGCACAGAAAGCTCCACGGGTCGATGACCCGGGGTGCGAGTGACCAGACAGGTGACAGCAGCGTGCTCCACCCCCACCCCCAAAATTAGTTTTTGCTTGGATCAAACCATATTTGCATTAGCCCCTTCCACCCCAAAATCCAGTTCTTCTCCATTCAGGTGTGTTTTTGCAAAGGTATGCAGCATTGTCTTAGCTGTGTCTCTCAACTGAGCTGGTAGTCTGGGTCCTCTTGTGCCGAGTGTGTTGCTCCGGGTCTGTTGGGGTCAGTGTTTGATGATCTTGCCTTTGTCCAGTGTAGGCAGGCCTGCCTCCCTGCCTGAAGTTAGACTGGGTGCTGTACAGAGGCTTCGTGTTAAACCTTGTCGAATAACAGTTTGCTTGACCATTTATTATATAAACCCATGTCAGTGTTCGGAAGCGAATGCTTTCTGCTCTGCAGTACAGGAGACCTTTCCCAACGCTGAGAATGGAAGCAGATTAGAAAGTGTGGAATGTCCTTTTTCAGAGCGCAAAAAGGGGTCATTTTCTTGCCTTTACAGCCGGTGAAAGGGGAAAAACTTTGCGGATCGCTGTCAACTCTCTTTGCCCTAGTGGGGTCTGAATCGGTCAGTTTTGTTTTGTTTTTCAGTCACGGCTTGAAAAGGTGCAGACATTGCTTCCCATAAGTAAGAGATGAAAGCATTTGAAGACTTCACTATACCCTCCCCCTAGAACATGCGTCCGCACTGCCGTTATACTGGTGCTTTGTGCAATAGTCAGAGTAGTAAAGAAATCAGATTTGATGTGTGGTAGCCACTGTGTGTTGTAAATTTTGCCAACTGCCATTGTGCTGCAGGTATTCGAGTTTAATACAGTGGTTATAAGTGGCGTTTGGCGTACTCTTTAGGGCACTCAATTTAATCCATTTGTTATCATTGTTTTTTTGGTAGAGGGAAATAGTGCTTGATCAGAAGCTGCGGAGGCTCTCGGTGTCGTCCGGTGCTGTGAGCAGCCGGGCGCTGACGGGACTGGCCCGACACACGGCGGCCTCAGGCGCTGCAGGAGTGAGCAGCCCGGAGCTAGAGGCAGAGGCCCGTTACCGAGCAGCGTGGTTTTCCTGGTTCTGTTCCCTGTCCGGGGTGGGGCCGTGGGCGTGTGCTCTGGTCCCGCCCGCCGGCTTCCTCTGCCGAGAATTCCTCCGTTCTGTCGAGACTTGTTTCCTTTGCGGTAACAACGCGACAGAACGGGGAGTAAACTCCCGCCGTGCCTCCTGGAAGCTGCCCTCGTTTTTCAGCACGCGCGGCTTCGTTTGCCAGCCTAGCGCCAAACGCCTCGCTGCCCTCACCTGCGCCAGCGGAGAGAGAAGTGTTCCCAGCGTGCCCCGCCAGGGCAGCTGGACACTAGCGGGCAGGCTTGACCACTGCGCTCACTCCCAGCCCTTTTCTCTCCTCCTCGTCCGGGTGTTGATCAGATGCACTTCCAAGACCAGCAGGGAGTTTCTCCTCTGTCACTCCACTGCTATCCCCCTGCAGCGAGCTGAGACATCCCGGATCCCAGGATGAGCAATGCTTTCTTTACTGGAACAACAGCTTAGTTTTAGCCGGAGGGTTTTATACATTTAAATAATTTGGAAGCGTGTTGAGGCCCCTCGCCGAGCTGACGTGCCAGCGGGAACATGATCGTGTTTGTGCGACCGGTTTCCACTTGAACAGGTGTTCTTGGCTCAGGCCTGGGAGTCAGATACTGTTCTTCCATTTCTATGTCACTTTTCTTTCAATAGTCTATTTTTTTGCGACGGGTACAAAATCCTTTTTTTTTCTTTTAGTCTTCCTCCAGTTGTTGCAATATTTAATTTCGTCCACAGTGGAAGAAAGAGGAGATGGTATTTGATTTGTGAATTGATAATTGTTTGAAATTGCCCAGTGCTTTTTCGTCCCAAAGGGTCCTAAAGTGGTTCCTGTACAGGAGGGGATCCACAACATCTACCACTAAAGTACAGCCCCAGTGCACAGCAGGTCAGGTGGAGGAGTGAGAAACTGCTTCTCAAACTAAGGAGGAATTCTGAGAGACCAGATTAAGACCAGAATGGATTTTAGCCGGGGTACCAACTTATAGCACCCCTACTCTTACAAACAGTGCCATGGGATCCTTAATGACCATGTATTTAGGACTTAATGCCTACCAAAGGACAACACCTCCTGCATTCACCATGCCCCCATTCACTGTACTGGGACATTGGTTAAGAAGTTCTGCTCCAGTGGGGAGACTGCCACCTACTGGTCTACCAGCAAAGCTTACAGCAGCCTCCTGGATTTCCCTGGAGGACTCTCATTCCAGTACCATCCAGGCCTGGCCCAGCCTCGATTCTGAGACCTGACGGCAGAGGGCTGTTGTGCTGCTCTCAGGTGCTCCACCTTCGATTTCCTAGGTGCCTGCGTGTTGTCAGTTCTCTGACAGAGAGCGTCTCCAGTCCTCCATTCCAGTCTTGTTTCTGCTGTGGAGGTGGCTTGCGGGCCATGCAGGTGTCACAGGAGGTGTGCAGGCTCTTTGCTCCACCTGGGCAGACATTGGCTGTTTGATAACTTGGGAACCCACTGCGAGTGAGGTTGTGATGCAAATGTAAAATTTGGTCTTTCCAAATTGTGACATAAGCATAATGCTCAGCGATCAAGTCTTTTTTTTTTAAAGACTTGTGGTGAATGTAGCTGCGTGCAGACGGCCTAAGTAATCAGATGTATGTAGCGAGAGAAATATCGCTGTTTCACGTATCCGAGTCACCCCTGCTGCTATCCTGGAGAAATCTGCTGAGGTCTGATGTGCTTCAATGCTGTGGTGTTTGGTTTCAGTTTCCTGTGAAATGTTGCTGTTCTTAACTCTGTGGCGTGTTTCCCAGAACTCAACAGATCAGCAAAATGTCCACAGGGTCTCCTTCCTGCGGATCTTCACCGGGCTCGCGTTGCGTCTGCGTCTCGGATGCCTGCAACGTTTTGGAAAGGGATTGCTGTGTTCTATCCTCAGTTTTAGAGTAAGCCCACCCCCTACCTCGAACCTTTGTTTGGGTTTTGGTCCTGCTCTGGGGTTTCCTCGTGTCTGCGAAGTCGTGGGTGTGGTTTGTGATGCCTCATCTGCTCCCCTGGTTCCCCAAGTAGCCACGTGTTTCCCACCACCAGATCAAGGGGGCGACGGCAGTTTCACTTGAGTCTGGAACTCGACTCAGTCAACACTTTTCAAGGGCCGGGGGGTTTAATGCACTCTCAGTTCTCCTTTCTGGAGTTTCTACTGTTTCTTTTAAGACACCACACATTTAAGAAATAAGTTCATCTCTTAAGAACGTATACTTTCCATTTCTTTGTGATTTTATGAGGACTGTTTTTAGAAGAAGAGCTGTGCACACACTAATGAAGGACACAGACTGCATGTACATGGATTAGTTGGTTCTCTCTGGTTTTCATGAATCACTGTCCTTCTGTGTCTGGGCTTAGCCTGTGTGTAGCAGGGAGGCACAAAATGGAAGCGCAAAGGCCAACATAGCATGGGACTCTACGGCATTTCCCGGTCTTGAAATGTTAGAAGAATGCCTTTGAAGACTATCCTGATTTCCTGTGGTCCAATTGCTTCTTTATGCTAGCAGCGCCCTTGAGTATGAGCTTCCTAGTTTTGGCACTGGAATCTTGTTTGGGAATGCCTCGCTGCCATCTGGGAAGCTCTAGCGAAGCAGCCAAGCTTCGTCTGATACAACCATGGTCCCGCTGAAGAAGACCGGTGATGGAAATCAGACCTTGAGCGTCCAATCAGGTCGTTTTCATAGCAGTCCAGCTTACGGTAAAACCAAAGGAAATCCTGTTTGTGGCCATCTGACTTCGACACCGCCCCGGAACTGTTATATGGCTTTTGAAGTGTTGGCACAGACCAGGCTGTGACTAAGCAACCCCCACGGTCTCTCATCTTCTTCCACATTTTACAGAGGTGCCAGGCTCTGTCTGCTCTGTCCTTTTTTTCCACAGTAGAACTGATGGTATAGTTCTAGCCTGAAGTGGACAAGAGAGCTGTTCCCTTTTCTTTCTATAGGCATCTGTGGGCCGTTCTGCACTCTGCTCAGTGCTGTGCCAAGTTGCAGTGCCCGCTAGCTTCCAGTAACCTGCAAAAGCATTCTGTTAAGAGGAATGGCATCCAGGTCCTCTCAGAAAGGTTATCCACGAAGGAATGTGAGTTGCAAAGTGAAATATGTAAGCTGAGCTTTGGATGAGACACCAGGAAAGTCATGCTTGTTGTAACTGCAATAGAAATGACATCGCCTCTCTTGTTATCTCTCAGTGATCAACGATTGTCAGGCCCTATGATCTGGTGTCGTGACGTGTGCTGTGACAGTTTGCATCTCTGCATTGGGGCTGTTTTTAGCGGCAAATCCATCTGTCTTAATCTATGCCGAAAACAGGTGAGAAACCCTCCTCTTGTTCTGGGATTTTTTTCTTCAGTGGACATTCATTGCAGTTTGTCCACTCCTGAAGTGAAAGGCATCACATCTTCTGGCTGCTTTATTTCCTTTTTCACAGCTGGTTGCAGAGCAGGCACAAATTGGAGTAAGCAGCAATTTGTTCTTTTTACTAAATGCACAGTCAGGGGTACAGTCAGACCGCACAGTTTGTCTGCACTGCAGTAGCATGAGTTCCATTTTCAGTCTCGCCATCAGGGATGCACAGCTCCAAATACACAGATTAATGAGCTGGCCATTCATATGTAAGCACTGAATAAGAGGATCTGTGGGGAAAAAACATAAAAGACTATTCTGAAGGGCTAAAATAAATATGTACAGTTTTTTATGCATGCCTTAAAGCTTCAAATCAAAGATTCTTTTAATTTTCCCTGTCTGTTTACTGCTCCCTCCAGTCCCACTAGCGTTTCTGCACTCTTCACTGACATAATTGAAAATTGGCCTGATGTCCTCTCTCATTTCCCAGTTCTTTGTTTTAAACAAATTGAAACCAGGAGCCCTTAAACAGAGTGACATGTATGCTCTGCCTCCTCTCGGAGTCCTCCTGCTGGTCCTGACCGACAGCCCTGGGAGTGAGGTGAGGGTGTGCTGAGGTCGTGGCGAAGCTCTCCCGTCAGGCAGCCAGCCAGCTGTGGGACACCGAGCCACAGAGCCATGCAGTCTCTGTGCATAAGCGCATTGTAGTCTTTCACAAATAGACGACCAGTTAAACTCATGGCTTGGTTGTAATAGAAGGCGGGGGTGGTTTCATCGAATGAGTGAGGTGGGCAAATTGGTTCAAATGCATTTGCAAATCTAAAAAAAATATTTTACCCCCACCTCCTCCGGTGCTCACTTAGAGTGAAACCTGCTAATCTCATCCATCAAAACAGATTCCACTCGGTCCAGCCCATCGGTGGCTGACCTCTGCCCAATGAGGTGCCGGGTCAGCGGCGTCCAAGACGAGCACAAGCTGTTGAACCGGACTGGTGTTGGTCCGAGCTGAGGTCTCATTTTGGTGAACGGGATGGTGGGAGGGGGTGCAATCTAGAAACGACCATGAATGCTGTTTGCTAATAGAGTTGAGCCCCAAAGTCTCACGAGGCATAATAAGAGAGGCACACACTCCTCTGCACCCTAGACTGTGGCACTGAATCAGTCCCTGACTCCCTTGTCTGCTTGGCTCAGACCTGAGGAGCACTGTGCCTAATCCAGTCCTTAACTGAGGCTGTAATTGGACCTTTCAGGTGAGGTCCGGCTGGGATGAAAGTTTGCCATTGCCTGTCGCCAGTTTAGTCCTGCTTTAGGGGCGACTTTGAAGAAACACAGTGTCTGATCCGGAGCAGTGCTCGATTAAGAACAGGGCTTAGGATCTTGGGCAGGAGTATATTGTAACTCCTCCCTCCCCCGCTCCAGAAAAAAGAAATGTTTCTAGAAAGCATCTGGATTGAGATCACCTCTGGTTGTATTTGCTGACGGAGGACAAAGTGGATTTGCTCCATTAAACCCGGGTCCTTCGTGTCGGGCCAGGACGAGGAGCTGCAGGCTTCCTGTTCGAGGCGGTGGACCGAGCTCAGCGCGCCACTCTTTTCAAGCTCTGTTGTGAAGAGGTGTACTTCAGAAAGAAAGCAAGCCAGCATCCGTGGCAGTCTGAAGATGGTTTCGAAGGAAACCGTGTGGAAGGGGACTGTTGTCATCACAGCTGCTCGGAGACTGTGTGTCTGGAGAAGGGAGAAACGATGAGTGGGAGCTCAGGGCTGGAGCGTGGGGCTCAGCAGCTGAGTGGGAGACAAAGCTTTCAAACCCCATTGCAAGAGAACAGTAACAATAGAAGAATCTGCTTGATCCTGACAGGACTAGTGTTTGAAAACCAGTGGTTTGGTATGGCTGGGTTGTCGGAGTCTGTTAATCACTTTTCACTGCCGTCTTTGGACGTCATAACCTGTAATAGTGCACCTGGGCCAGCCCTGAGCCAAAACCCCTGGAGCAACACAGGGTGCATTCTGTGTGCCAGAAAGCACTCCGCACCAGCGCTCTGGTGCATCCCTGTAATATAGTGGCATCCTTGGCGTGAGAATAAACAGAACCTGGAACAGCCTGTTCTGGGTTGTGAGTGCTGCGTCTGTCCCCCGCTGAAGCTGGTTGAAATAAATGTGCAGTGCAAGCGGAACAAAAAGTGCTTATTATTGCTCTTCCGCTTTAGTCTTGAATGAAATGTTCCCATTTTTGCAAGGAAGGTCATTCTAAAAGATTTAAACTAATAGTGTAACAATTAAAACATCTTTTTATTTATGTAATATCTTGGCTCATCTTCAAGGTCAGCAGTCACGCATGTCACTCAAAGGCTTGACCCACTGTAGGCCTTCAGAGCTACGCTGACGCAGCCTGTCAAACCTCAGACGAGCTCGGGTACGGGGCACTCTCGGTCCAGTGTTCCAGGCTGTAGGCACTACAGCTTTTGACTGCGTCTCTGCCAGGCAGGGTAAGAGTTCCCGTTTTTCTTCAGCATAGAAAAAACACTTTTGCAAATGGTGAGCAGATCTCCAGCTGGCTGTCAGCCTGCCAGAAGTCCAGCCTGACATAGGATAACCTCCGGATTCCGGTCCGGATTATTGGAATCTTTTCTTTACTTTCCCTGGCCATCTAAGTGGCAGGCTACTCTCCAGTTCCCATTTTGTGTGGTTTTGTAGCTTTTTTTGTTGTTGCTGATTTTCAGTGAGAAGACCGTGGGTCAAAACAAAGGATGTTTTGACAATGTGGCTGTAAAAACCCCAGAGGAGGAGGAGGAGGTTTGGAAAAGTCCCGACATTCCCTGGCTCTCTTGCCACATTCCCTGCAGGTGAAGCCACAGGCTTTTCGTCCCCCTTGGGGTCAGGAGTGCGCCGTACTGTGCCCGTCGCCGTCGAGCACCCTGACACCCTTTCACTTGGACTTCCGAGTGTAGCAGTAGGCAGTGACCTGTGCTGGTTGTGGCAGATTCTGGTGGAGTCTGATTTTAAATGATCTGAAGTCAGGAGACAAAAGACTTGTCTGTACGCTTCATAATACACTAATTTACTGGAATTGTGAAAGTCTGTGCCCATGCTGTAAACCAGGGGTCTCAAATACGCGACCCGCAGGCCACGTGTAATTATCTACAGCCCACAGCAGCTCACTTGGACTGACAAAAAGTTACCAATAAAATTCGGTTGTTTTGGTCATTTGATACTTTTTTTGTTCTATAGATTCATTTTCTGTTTCAATAATCGCCATGGAAATATTGTAGTGCCCTCGCCGGGTGACGAGGCTAATGCATACGGCGCAGTGCAGGCTGAGAACTGTGGCCGGGAGATGGTCTGAGGGTCTACAGAGTGACCACTAGGTCACCCTGCCTGTGTAGATAGTGACTATAAAACCTAAAGTAAATAGTAGTTAATTGTTTACTCCTGTTTTGTCCCTTGTCTTGTAACCACCCTAAACTTGCCTACTTGTCTTATTCACAGCCCTTGTGAGCGTGTTAACCCGTGGAGTTGGTGTGTACGTCTCTGGTGCCTGATTGCTGGCCGATGGAGTACTGTCAATAAAGAAAGTAGACAGAAAGACAGAAAGGTTTCCGAGGTTAGTCTGTGCGTCTGCTAGAATCAGAGCAATGTTTGGCAGTGCGCCCGTAGGCGAACAGTTTTTATCGTCAATGAAGATCAACAAATCACTTTTACAGTCAAGACTCACCGATGAACATTTCAGGCAACATTGCGATTGGCTACTTCACGTGATATCAGGCCTAATGTTGACGTTCTGGTCTCTGCAAAACGAAGCAGCCAGAATGAAGAACTTCAGAAATAACCTGATGTGAGTGCATTGAGTAAAGTGGACCAACATGTTTCAAATAAAAATTTCTGTTTCACATAATTTTTTAATCTTTGATGCGTTTTGTATGTGTATGAATGCGGCCCACCGATGAGCACATTTAACTAATGCGGCCCCCATATTCATTTGAGTTTGAGACCCCTGCTGTAAACTCTTGTTTCGCTGTCATTTCTTTTCTCGTGTTGGCGAGGTAGCGGGGATATTGCGAAGGCGGGTAGTTACAGCAGATCTGTAAGAGTGTTGCGTGAACTAAAAGATAAAAAGGAAAACATTTTTACCACGTTATCTGTATTCATAAAAAAACCTTCAAGCCGACTTAAAATATATACATTCCAGGATGGACTCAGGTGATAGCAGGTGGTTGTTGCATATTACCTGGTGTCGTTCTCTGTAATAAACTGGTCATAATAGTCATTTATGAAATAACAATCTGGGATCAGGACAGTCATTTCTTGTAAAATGCAAAATCATAGTAATCATTATATTTCATATCAACTGTTGGATCTCCATCCAGTGCAGTGTTGGCAGGGCGCTGAACATAACCAAGGAATGGGGAAACAGATATAATAATAATTTCAGATAGTGCTGTTTCTCCCTCAGGGGTGGCAGTGCGGAAGTGAGCCTGGTCTAAGCCCTGTCTTGGTCTGGGTGGAGTCTGGGTCGAGGAAGTCTGGCAGGGAATCTGATATTTCATTTTTCTTCCGTAGTTTTGAAGAGGCCATTCAGCTCCGAGTTGAACTTTCTCTCTCTGCTTGCTCTGCCCGTTGTGGTGTCTTGTGTGGTTCAGCCAGCCCTGCTGGACTTCACCTGGTTCAGCCCTGCTCCTGCTGAGGAGGAAGGGAGGGTGGCTTCTGGTTTGCCTGTGAGCTGCTGTCTCTCCTGCAATCAGGCAAGGGAGGGCGAGAGGTTTAATCAGCAGCGAGACCGGTGTGCCGCTTGGAGCAGCTGGCGGTTTGTGTGTGTGTGTGCGCGTGGAAGGGAGGGGTGGCACTTCTGTGAGTTAGCTCTGTGAAGGTGGAACCAGGGCGAGGGACAGCTGTCATTACAGAGCGAGATGCATTCTCTGCGATGAAACCACTCAGGCCGTAACAGCGCGGCCTTTCAAAACAGCGCTGGAGTTGGAGGCAGAGGTGTTCTCTGGCTTGCTGTTCTGCTTTTTCAGTTCCCCTCAAGCATGTGCAGTCATATTTGAACTGGAGACTATGATTTGATTGTTTTTTTTCCTCCCCTCTCACCAGCACAATAAGTTTATTATGTCTCTGATCGAGCCAAGCCTGGTATTTATTGCTGGTCTGGTTGTTTCCCTGCCATAGGTGGGACTGGCTGTTACTGCAGCTGAAAGGAGTAGGATTGTTTCTAAATGTGGCTTGGAGGGGCCAGATGTCCTGGGGAAGGGGGGGTTGGGTAATCAAAATTTGAGTAGAGGCCCTGTGGCTCACCATGTGGAGCTATTCTGAGGTTTTACTGAGAAGTGCCTGCAGTTCGTGTTGAAAACTCTCCCCTCTTATCTGGCCTGGTTTCAACCAGCAGGACATATTTACTGATCACTTGTGAGCTAGTCGTTTCCATGTTAGCTGTGTGGTTTTGAGAGCAACCGGAAACCTTCATGCTTTCTCAGGCTTTTTTATGAAAGGGTGATATGTTCTGGAAGGCCATTGTCAGTTTAAAGCCCAGTTAAAATATAATCGTCCCAAGCATATTGCACACCACGAGCATCAGGTTGTTGTATTTTTGTGTTGCATCACAGCTGGCCTGCGGCATCCCGTTTAGGAGTGTGTTCCAGCTCCACATTTGGCACAGCTCTTGAACTCCGAAGTCGAGGTGTCAGATTGAGGCTGTTCGCTAATTAGATTTGAATGTAAACTGAAACCTTTGCTTCTCCCTCTAGATCTACTCACTCCTGTTTTTTTTCCTTCCCCTTAAGAACAGGGAAGCGAAGCGCTGTCGCAATGGCTTAGAATGTGAAAGACAAACACTGAAGCCTGATACAAGGCATTGTGAGCTCCAAGCTGTGTTTTTTTTTTCCACTGTGGCGGGTTTGTTTAAGTTGTGTAACTGCAGACGCTGCAGGATCTGGGTCAACTGGGCAAGCGCTTTAAGAGGCCGCTTGCAGAACATCACCGCCCCCTTCTTGGTAAGAGAGCTGGTGACCACAAAGAGAAGAGCGGCCTGGCCCCTGCTGTGGACTGCACCATGGCTGGGGTCCCGTTTCCCCGATCGCTCGGACTCCTCGGCCCGCGTGTCCCTGCGGTGCTGTCACCGCTGACGACGAGACGACAGACTGGCGCCGCGTGACCTCCGCCTCGGTGGTGGTTTGCCTTTGCCGTGTGTCCGGGACACCTTTCTGCCGGATATTTCCGGTTTGCTCGGTTCTGGGTGAGCTGGAACTGCTGCTGTCGGTTTAGGGCAGAAGGTCTTGTGGACCTTTCTGTTTCTTTTGAAACCTAGCGAGTTCCTCTCGGGAAGATGGGAAACGTGTCCTTTCAGGATCTAGAGGAGACTCGGCACTGTCCTGTTTTGCTTCTCTAGGGACTGGAAGCTTCTCTGGGTGAAAGAGGCAGGTTTGGAGAGTGAGCGGTTCCCGAGGTGTTAACAGGAATGTGATGATAACACAGCAGAGCTCGGGTTTGCCCCATGAGCCTTCTGGTATATTCATCCTTGACCTTAACCGGTATAAACTGGAACGCCTGACCTCATTTTTCAAATTTTTTGTTCAAGTTACAGGTACTGCACAGCTGCCTTGAGCGGTATTTTTCTGGTGTGGGCCGATAGACATGATGGCAAGGTGGATACGCACAGCCCAGGCGGAGGTAGAGAGTGATTCGCTCTGCAGCAGGTGTGACATGACCCTGCCTCTTGCCCCTAGAGCTCCTCTGTCTCTCCCTCCACTGCCTTAGAGAGGGACTGGGGGAGGGATGGCGATGAGAGAAGGGCAGTTCAGGTGAGACTGAGTAGCGGACGCTTGACATCTTAATGAGCGTTGAATTATGGGGCTGGCAACAGCCACAGTGACGGGGCCTGGCGGAGACATTTCAGTTACTATCTACCTGCTTTCACAGCAGACTGGGAATGAGATCCCAGAGGTGTCTTGGCTTATTTTTAGAAGCGTGTAGAGATGCATCTTTAAGGGAATTAAAGCTGTTCTGCAAGTGCTTGACAAGTGATGGCACCCCTCTGTGGTTTTCGAGTTGCGGCATTGCTCAGTTTCCAGTGGGGCGGCTCTGCAGTAGGAGGAAGTAGTTATTTTGGTCAAATACGGTGTTGCTGAGAACAGAGATCTTGAGTGTAGTTCTCTCAATGTACTTTTCTTTGTGCATTTGGAAGACCTGGAGGAAAAACCTGTGCCCTCTCCTTTTAGGTCGTTTCTTTTTTCAGTTGGTAGCTGTGGCGTTTTTTAAGCAGGTCCTTTAAATGAACAGCTGTCCACATACTGGTGAGCTGCTTCCCTTGGGGGGGCTTGGAGCGAGCCGGAATCGCAGTGCGCCAGGCAGGGCGGAGAGCGCATGGGTGCACTGCCCCTGTAGGGGGCGCTGGCACATCCTGAGGCCGCAGTGGAAGCCAGAGTGTCTTCAGGATCAGAGGCTGGGGGAGACTGGTCCACCCGACGAGAGCCCCTCGTTATCTCACAGGGAACACGGGGAGACTCCCCACTGGGGCTGGAGTCCAGTCCAGAGAGCTGGAGCTGCGAGGCAGTTCTGTGTCGCCATCCTGCTCCTTTCTGCAGACATGACACGACCACATTTCCCTCTGCAGGCCTCCACAGAAGCTAATGAATGAAATGGTAGAATTCCCCACAGGACAAATCACACCTATTGTCTGTCTGATTTTTTTTAGAATGCTTTTTAACATTTATTTATAGCGGTTATAGAATTTTCAGGTCTTTTGTGACCTTTCTCTGCTGCAACCACATCCTTTAGCGTTGAGTGTCCCAGGCTCGTGTGTTACACCATATGCAAATCACCCACTCAGTCAGTAAGCAAGTTTTTGCTTAACGGTGATGAGACAATTTTTTTGTATTTCCCTCTGAAATGTCAGCTGTTGGTTCCGCCAAGCTTTTCTAACTGCTTTGCTCTTATCAATGGGAACGAGAGACTGCTTTCACTCTCTCCATCTCCTGTCACACTGCATGACTGGTAGTTTCTCTCTCGTCTTCCTTTTGCTGATATGGGTGCAGTTGTGAAAAAAAATACCCAATGCTAAAAGATAAAATAATCCCTCAACAGAAGTTTCCTTTCTACACCCAACATAGAGGAAGGAAGTACTTTCTGACATAAGCAAGCACAGGGCCAGCCTCTCATGGCTCTGTCCGGCTTGTCTTTATCTGAATGAGGCTCGTGGTGCTTTAGCCCTGGTCCCGCACTGCAAAGTGGGTTTCACTCCAGCTACGCTCTGGCTGACTTTAATTGGGTCAATTGGCTAAATTAGGAGATAAGACGTTTTCCAGATCCCTGTTCAGCGACCATTTAAGGCTACACATCAGATGAGCAGGACTGTGGCTGTCTGGTACCGTGGGTGCAGGTCCCCTATATAAGGATGTGTAAGAGTCCATTAATTCCCTCTGCATATGGCTGGGAATGATCCTGGATTTTTATCAATTGCTTGACACCAGACAGTTGGTCAACCTCTGCGCCTCCAAAACAGTGCCAAATTCCTCACCTCCCCATAAAAGCTTTTTAAAATATTAACAGAAGCTGAATATGTTAAGATTACAGTGCCGGACCCCACATGTTGAAAGGCAGTGACGTGAATTCATGCAGGCTGCAGAAAGAGTACAGCATTTTCTAGACAACCAAAAATAATCGCGGTAGGTGTGGTGCCTACACCCACTGCCCATTCTACTTGCGGCAGAGACTTCTGCATGAAGGGAGGGTGTGTACGTAGAAGGGGTGTACCTGGACTAAGTGCATCTGCCTTGCAGCTCCTGTGTTGTGGGTTTGATATTAGAATGGAGAGCCGTGTGTGTGGAGTCTGCATGTTCTTCCTGGCCCCTCGGGTATTTTAGCTTCAGCAGTTCAACTAAGTGG